TCTATCTATCTATCTATCTATCTATCTATCTATCTATCTATCTATCTGTCTGTCTGTCTGTCTGTCTGTCTGTCTGTCTGTCTGTCTGTCTGTCTGTCTGTGTATTTAATTCAAACTTTATTTTAATAAAGAAATCGCTCAGTGATTGGACGTCTTGTGACATGTGACAGATATTGTTCACTCATTACCTGGAAGAGAGACTTCCTCCAGACCAGGGAGTTCACGGTGAAGGTCAGGCGGGCTGCTGCTCCTCCTCAGCAGAAAGCACCTGTTTCATATTTCTTTTGTTGGCGGATGATTTCATCTTCTTTTAGAAATGAGCAGAAGGATGCAGTTTCCATGGCAGGAACTCATTTTTATACTCACAGGTAGGCTTTGTGCTTATATTCTTTTTATATTCTAAAAAGTCATTGCCACACCTTTTTATGGTGCTTCCACTGCTGTTAATCATTAATTTAGCTTCGCCTGAAAGCAAGATCATATTTTATTGGAAAGAAAACTGCAGGTTAAAATAGTATTTGAATTAATCTGATTTATTTGTAGATTAATATCACATTAAAATATAAAGTGACTGAGAATATGGCTTCCATTGTATTGTGTGTTTATTCTTCATTTCTAGTGCTTCCCTGCTGCTGGAGTTTACAAGTGTCTATTCAAAGCAAAGAATACAAAGTTGCCAAGGGAAAAGACGTTACATTAGTCTGTTCTTTTGTCCCTGCTGTTCCGGTGACGGACAATTTTTTCCTCTCATGGGACACTCAACCCGACGTTCACGGTGAACCACTGGTAAGATGTGAAGACAGATCAGTGCTACGTGTCAGTGCAAAATGAAAAACAAGCACATCGTCTGAAGAATTAAAAAGTGTATAAACGATTGTAAAGTTGAGGAAATTCAATGGCATTTGAGCTGGATCTTAAAAAGAGAAATCTCCCAAAGCCCTATGAATCCATTTAAATATACATATACTGTATATAAATTACTTGTAAAGTTTTCAATTTGGTTCAACATCAGAAAATATTAATATTATTCATTGATTTATTTTGTCTTAAAAAAAAAAAGTCATCACTTGTTACATTGAACTTAAAAATGAAAATGAGAAAAGGACAGATGCTTTAATGGGGTGTGGTTCAAGAAACGGTACTGACCTTTGTCCAGAGGATGATGAATGTGTGAATGAGTCAAAACAGCTTAGTGTAAATAAGTTACTCTGCTCAGGTGAATCAGAGGAAGGAAACTACAGATGTGTTTTACTGAGAGGGTTCTTCCTGCTCATTTATTTGGCAATCCTTCTGAATAAAACACACAATTTAACCAATGATATTTAGAGGGCATCAACCCTGATATAAAAACAAACAGAACAGAAATCTTTACACGTATTAAAGCAATAGTTCAGATCTTTTGAAGTGGGAATAACAGTGTAATGAAAAGTTGACAGCAAGGGAAGGTTTATAATGCAGCGTTTGTCAGAGTCAGAGTCAGAGGCAGAGTTTCTTTATTGTCATTCGCACCTCATGTGGTACATGTGGTGGAGCGAAATTATGTACACGGGGTCCCAGTTACATCCAACAATAAAATGTTTAAGAAAAACAGTAATAACATCTAAGATATGAACTAAGAAAAACATCAACTAAATATACACTAAGCACTCATAACATAAAACATTGAACATCAGCACAAACATGAACATGAGTCTGTGAGCAGATGTGCACGCATGAACACATCAACATTGAAACAGATCAGCAGCAACATGAAACAGATCAGCAGCAACATGATATGGTTTTTCACAGTGATTATTCTAGTTAGAGATTCATGAGTCTAACAGCCTCAGGGTAGAAGCTGTTCCTCAGTCTAGTGGTTCTACACTTAATGCTCCTTAACCTCCTTCCTGAGGGGAGTGGGGCAAAAAGTGTGTGTGCTGGGTGAGTGGGGTCCTTCATGAAAAGGATGAACTTTTTGTCCCCCGGGCGGGGGACAAAAAGTTATTTGAGAAAAAAACAAAAAGTTTTTTGAACACTTTTCAAATTGTGATGAAGTTTTAGATGTTGGAATCGTTTTCAGATAGCATCAGTCCACCTTGGGCTTGACTCCACTTGGTTTAGCTGTTAGCTTGTCAATCCTGCCACAATTAAACTCTGATTCTTAAAACTGAGGCATCACAAAGAGCTCTCTGCAAGAGATATAATTTATCTACAGAACCACACATCAAAAGATCTGAAATAGTGCTTTAATGTGCCTTGTTACATTTAACCCAGTGTTTAAATGTCATAACCCTTTATACAGTTTCAAACTCAACTCTTTTCTTTTATTGGCTGAATTTTAATATTTTGAGCGTGTGTTTTGTGTTCACGTGTCCAGAAAGCTGTGGCCTCCTACTTTCTGAACAAGCCTGTTGTGATTTCGCCCTCGTATGAAGGCAAAGCCTTCCTGGAGATTGACATTCGTGGGGGAACAAGCAAACTCCGCTTAACACAATTGACCATGAAGGACAGTCGCCTTTACCAGTGCAGTGTCAGAATATACGGGGATGATGGAACAACAGCTGCTACCACTTCTCTTCTGGTCCTGGGTAAGAGTTGACACAGAGATTAGGTTTACTTCTCTTTTTTAGTGGTACACAAACATTTAGTTAAGATTTCTACCGCTATGAAATCCCACAGTTCATCCAAACAGGGGGTTGATTGTCGCCCATTTTGTTTGCTGTATTTGTAGAACCTTTAAAGCTATCAGTTGGACAAAATACAAAAATCAAATAGCAAGCGTAATAATGATTTTTTAAAAAAAAAGTAAAATTATACTGTTTGCAGATAATGTTATCCTTCATCAACACACCCAGTCTCTCATAGGCTCTAATGGAGTAAACAAAATATAACTCAATCACTAGTTACAAACTAAGAGAATTTATGTATAACTAACGACTAATGGAGTCAAATAATTTATTATTGTGAGAAAAACCACAAAGTTTAAAAATACACAAATTCATACATAAATTTATGACCAAGAAGCATGATAAAATAAACCTAACAAGCTAAGATAAAATCAAATGACAGAGCTGTAATAAGTTAGCATTACTTCTATTTATTTAATGATTATAATTGACTTTAACTAATGCAATAATTTAAACACTTCAGTTGTCACCCCTAATTCTTCTCTTTTCTAACGTAATCCGTCCTTTTGTTGCTAGTCTCTTAACTTTAACAATTGTTTATCTTTCTTCAAATAAGGTGATCAGACGTGTACGCAATACTTAATATGGCTAACAGAACTTTAAAACATGTTAAAAATAAAGTAAAAGTTTGTTTAAACAAATTTAATTCATAATTTGCCTTTGCTGCAGTCTTGGCAATACAGTATACTTACTGTAATTGATTAACATGCCTGAATTGCTTTTCTTTGCTCATTGTCTCAGTACAGTTCCATTCATGTAATAAAAAGGGTTTCTATTTCTCACATGCAACACATTTGGTTCAAATAAAAACCCAATAACCACTTGTTTGACTATAATAATAAATAATCAATATCATCTTGTAAATAATGTTTAACCAAAGATAACACTGGATGGTAAATGTTAGTTGTCAGTGACAAATGTTTTACATTAAGCAGATATTATTCTGGGCAGCGCTCTCGTCGTCCCCCTCTGCAGAATGTCTACGTCGCCATGTGCTTGTTTGTGCGAGGTGTTTTTTAATATCAGAGTTTTTTCTTCTCAGGCAGGAAAAAAAAGTCTGATAGGAATTTTTTTGACGTCAATACCTACAAGTGTCCAGTTTTCATTACTTTTTGTCTGTTAAAAAGATCTCACTTGTAAATGAGTCTTCTAGGCTCAATGTGACTTATCTGTCTAAATAAAGGTTGAATGAATGAAAATTAATAATAAAAAAGTCAAAATAATATAGTCCCAAGAATAGACTCCTGAGGGACTCCATTGTTAACATTTTACCAACAAGATTTTGCACTATTAAAACTTACTGTTTCTTTTCTTTTAGATTATTTTCCAGCTGAAATTATAATTCACCAACAATCCTATATTTTATTTGTAATGTTTATTAATCTAGCGTGAGTCTCCAAATCAATTACTTTTTTAAAGTTTACATCCAGCCTATGAAAGGCCTTCATTGTAGAACTTTGTCCTCTCTTCTACAAAGTAATGTAATGTGGAGAAAAGTGGAAAAGTACAAATTCATGCATATGCATTTAATGCAGTTGCTGTTACGTTTGTGTCTAATTCTTTTTTTTATTTTTTTTGTAGAGCCTCCTTCTCCACCAGCCTGTAAACTTCATGGACGAGCAGAGTATTTTCACAACGTTAACCTTACCTGTGAGTCTGCGGAGGGCTCCCCAAAACCGGTCTATCAGTGGACAACCTACAGTGTTGAAAACATTCCCAGGCAATTTGCACCCAAAACAACTCAAAGTATGTTTTAATATATGTGAATTTGCTTTGTGTTCAGATTGTTTGCTTTTAACTATTCAGACTAAAATGTGTGATTGTTTTGCAGAGGATGGAGTTTTGTCTCTTTTTAATATTTCAAGAGAGACATCTGGATTCTTCATTTGTGTATCAAAAAATGAAATCGATTCTGCCAGCTGCAACTTTACCTTAGCTGTGATGCCTGGTGAGTCTGTCAACATATTTAAGTGCTCACTTCTTGACAGAAAATGAACTCTAGAGTCCTGTCCTTTTAGTCAGTGTGATTTTGAGGTAGTCTCATTGGAGTTTGTAAAAAAACTCTCATAAACGTATCAGTTTGTGTTTGAGAGCAGGATCTTTAAAAATATGTAATACAAAAATATAATATTGAGATACTGCAAACAAGCTTACATAATTTAATGAAGCTGTAAAAAGTAAATATCAACATAAATATGGAGAAAAAATAATATTTTATAGAAACTATATTATTGTCAAGTAAATACTTGGCATAGTCATTTGTAGTAACTGTAACTAAATTAAGTAGTTTTGTTTAGAACTGTTTTTTATTTGGTTCTCGCTTTTTCAATGGACAGTAAATTTAGTTTGTTTTATTCAGTCTTAAAAGCACAAAAACATAAAATGTAAAATTTAGGCAAAAAGACCAAGTTATAGGTTATGCTGATGTATTAAAAATAGGTTTAAGCATGAAAACATACGTAGCTGTTTTGAAACAGAAAAATGTCATAGCATTCAAGTCACTTGACGATTCAGGATGCTAGTCATGAAAGAAGTCCATCCATCCATCCATCCATCCATCCATCCATCCATCCATCCATCC